ATGTTGAGGTATGTTCCTTGTATCCCAAGAATTTCAAGGTCTTTTATCATGAATGGGTGTTGCACTTTGTCGAAAGCTTTCTCAGCCTCTATTGATATTATCATATGGTTTTTATATTTCTTTTTGTTGATTTGTTGGATTACATTGATTGATTTTTGGATGTTGAACCATCCTTGTGTCCCTGGAATAAATCCTACTTGGGCCTGGTGAATTATGGATATATTGTTGGAGTCTGTTAGCTAAAATTTTATTGAGGATTTTTGCATCCATGTTCTTTAGAGAGATTGGCCTGTAGTTTTCTTGTTTTTTGTTGTCCTTGTTCAGTTTTGGTATTAGTGTAATGTTGACTTCATAGAATGTCTTTGGTATTATCCCTTCTCAATTTTTTGAAAGAGTTTGTGAAGGATAGACACTAATTGTTTCTGGATGTTTGGTAGAATTCATTTGTAAATCCATTTGGTCCTGGGCTTTTGTTTTGCGGGAGGGTTTTGATTACCATTTCAATTTCACTTCTTGTAATTGGTCTGTTTAGGTGTTCTATTTCTTCTTTATCTAGCTTTGGGTGATTGTAAATTTGTAGGAATTTGTCCATCTCTTCTACATTGTTGAGCTTGTTTGCATATAACTGTTCCTAGTAGTTTCTGATTATTCTTTTGATTTCTGCTGTGTCTGTTGTGATTTCTCCTCTTTCATTTGTGATCCTATTTATTTGTGCTTTCTCCCATTTTTCTTTGTAAGCCTGGCTAGGAGTTTGTCTATTTTATTTATTTTTTCAAAGAACCAACTTTTGCTTTCATTGATCTTTTGGATTTTTTTTTTTATTTTATATTTCATTTATTTCTGCTTTGATTTTTATTATTTCCTTTCTTCTATTGGTTTTAGGGTTTTTTTGCTGTTCTTTTTTCTAGTTCTTTCAGCTGTGAGATTAGGTTGTTTCTTTGAGTTCTTTCTTGTTTCTTGATGTGAGCCTGTATTGTTATATATTGTACTCTTATTACTACTTTTGCTGCGTCCCATACATTTATGAAATTGATGTTATCCTTGTCATTCAACTCAAAGTATTTTTTAATTTCTTCTTTGATCTCCTCATTAATCCAGTGGTCTTCCAGTAGTGTGGGTTTCAATCTCCATGAAGTGTGTGTAAGGGGTCCCTTGCCTTTTTATGATTTATTTATAGTTTGATGCCTTCATGGTCAGAGAAGATGGTTGGTTGGTATGATTTCAGTCTTGGTGTATCTGTTGATGTTTGTCTTGTGTCCCAGTATGTGATCGATCCTGGAGAATGATCTGTGTGCACTTGAGAAAAATGTGTACTCAGATTTTTTGGGTTTAGTGTTCTATAGATGACTGTTAAGCCCATGAGGTCTAGATCCTTATTTAGCTTTAATGTCCTTACTTATTGTCTCATTGATCTATCCATTGATGATAGTGATGTGTGAAGTCTTCTCTACATATGTGTTTTCTCTGATGTCTGTTTTCAGAGATGATAATAGTTGTCTGATATATTTTGGTGCACCTTCATTTGGTGAGTATATGTTAATGAGTGTTATTTCTTCTTGAAGTATTGTCCCCTTGATCATTATGTAGTGACCGTCTGGCTCTCTTTTTACCTTTTTGAGTTTGAAATCTGTTTTATCTGATATAAGTATAGCTGTTCCTGCTTTCTTTTTTGGTCCTTTTGCTTGTAGGATTGTTTTCCATCCTTTAACTTTGAGTCTATTTTTATCTTTTGTAGTTAAATGTGTTTCGTGGAGACAGCAAAAGGTTGGGTTTTGTTTCTTAATCCAGCCTATCACTCTGTGTCTTTTTATTAAAGAGTTTAGTTCCTTTACATTTAGAGTTAGTATTGATATGTTAGCATATTTGCCATTGTGTCTTTTCTCTGGTTTTATTTATTTTTTAATTTTTTGTAAATTTTTTTGTCTTGTTTCTTTCTTATTCATCCCTCTGTTGGTTTTGGTTTTAGGACTCCTTGTAGTATTTTTTGGAGTGGGGGGTTTAGTTGTAATGAAATTCTGGAGTTTCTGTTTGTCTGGGAAGGTCATTATTCTCGCTTCATACAGGAAGGAAAGCTTTGCGGGATACTGTATTTTTTTTTAAGATTTTATTTTTATTTATTTATTTATACAAGAACCAGGGTACAGGACAGATGCGTGGGAGGGTGAAAGGATTCACCAGAGACTGCGGGGAACAGAATAGGCAGACTGATGAAATACACTGCTGAGGGGAGCAGCAGGTGCAACAGGAGAGGTCTGCAGCGCCATGTGGGATCCTCGCCAGCTGGCTGGGATCGAACCTGCACTGCAGAGGCTATGGACAGCTTTCCAGCATGGTGCTGAACTGCCTGTGCCACCAGGGGAGGCCCGATAGAGTATTCTTGGTTGACAGTGTTTCTTGGAGTCTGTTGACTATGTCCCTCCACTCTCTCCTTGCCTGTAGTGTTTCTTTGGAGAATTCTGATGTCAGCCTGATTGGTTTTCCTTTGTATGTTATCTCTTTCTTCCCTCTTGTCAACTTCACTATTTTTTTCTTGTCTTGGATTCTTGGGAGCTTTACCATTATGTGTCTTGCTCTATTTTTCCTTTCATCATGGAAGTTTGGTGTTCTTCTTGCTTCTTGTATGTCCTTTTTTCACTTCCTTCTTCATTTTTGGGAAGTTCCCTTCAGTTATTTCCTTGAATATTTTCTCTGCTCCTATGTCTCTCTCCTCTCCCTCTGGGATTCCTATAACTCTTATATTTCCTTTCCTCATGGAGTCAGATAGTTCCTGAAGTCTTTGTTCATTCTTTTTCCTTTGTACTTCTCTTTCCTTTTCTGTTTTGGTTCTCTTTATTTCTGTGTCTTCGAGAGTACTTATCCGTTCCTCCCTTTCATCTATTCTGCTTTCACTGCTTTTCCCAGAGTTCTTTAGCTCTTCCATTAATTCTTTCATCTCCTGCATTTCTTTCACTCCCTCTTTAGGGACTCAGTTTCATTCTTCTGATCATTGATTATTTTTCCATTATCATTGTTTTCCCTTATGACTTCTGTCAGTTTTTTAATCATGGCAATTTTAAATTCTCTTTCTGGAAGGCTCAGAAGTTCTTCCAAGTCACTGTTGTTGCATTCTGGTGGGTGATTTTCTTTTTGCGGTGTGTCTTTTCCCTGAGGACTTGCTTGGTTGCTTGTAGTTTTTCTTCTCCCTCCTGCTTGTTTTCTAATTTGTCCTATGTGTTGGGACACTGTGTTGCTGGTACTGGCTGGCGTCTTTTTTTTTTTTTAAAGTCTTTTTTTTTTTTTTAATAGAGGCATGTTTTATTTATTTGTTTGTTTGTTTGTTTTTGTTTATACATGCACTGGGTACAGTCAGAAGCGCGGGAGGTTGAGAGAATTCACCAGAGCCAGAGCGGGGAGCAGAGCAGGCAGAAGGACCGAAGTACACTGCTGAGGGGAGCAGCGGGTGGCAGGAGAGTTCTGCGCACTATGTGGGACCCTCCTCCGGTGGCCAGGGAGCAGCTGGGGATCGAACCGGCACCACAGAGGCCGCGGGCAGCATCGCAACCCAGCGCTCAACCACTGCGCCACCGGGGAGGCCCTGGCTGGCGTCTTTTTGGTGTACCCTTTCTGGGATGTCAGAGACTGGTGGTCCAATCGAGTCAAATACTATTATGCCAGAAGTCCAATAGGGCAGTGGTACTATGAATATGTTAAGGTTGCTGTCACAAAATATCTCCTCTTTTTGTGTTTGTTTAATTCCAAAGCTATGTCTTGAGATCCCACAGACTGCCCTGGAGGTGGGGTGTGGCTGGATTGCCCCTGGGCTCCAAATCACTGGATCCCCTCATTTAACATTTTAAATGTTGCTGTGAAGTCTCTGCCTGATAGGTCCTCTACTTCTGTATCCTTCCTTTATATTTTTCACATGACTTCTGTTGTTTTCATTTTGCTTTCTATCTTGCGTTCAGATGTTCCTAGCTATCTAGGCATGTGTTGCCTTATTTGTGCGCTCTCTCTCTCTCTCTCTCTCTCTCTCTCTCTCTCTCTCTCTCTCTCTTTCTGTGTGTGTGTGTGTGTGTGTGTGTGTGTGTGTGTGTGTGTGTGTGTTTGGTGTGCTGTAGATTGTTTTGTTTGTTTCTCAGTGGCAGGAGGGGTGTTGGGGACTTTAATACTTGATCTCAGTTTGAGATGAAGTTGGTTACCACTACCTACTCTTCTTTCATTCCACAACTTAGGTTTTCTTAACTTCCTATCCCACCTCCCTGCTGCAGACAATCACAATCTATGAAACTGGAGTCCCTCAGTTGGGAAAGCTAGATTTGGACCCTCCAGGTTCCCAATTGGGGACTCTGTTTTACTTGGCTGGGTGGCAGTGCTGTGCCACAGTATTAAGGCAGACAAGGGCTTGTGGCTATGGCTGCCAACTATGGCCATGGCAGCCCAACCACTGTCCTTACTGCAGCTTCTACAAGGCTGCGATACTGTGTGCTGTTTGTTTATTTTCCCAAGTGATTTGTGACTTTCTCAAGTCATTCTCTCTGTTATTTGGCTTTTTGTGTCCTCTGTCCTGGCTTAGGTGGCTTCTCTTAGATCTCTTTTGGGGAGAATTTGGGGAGGGAGCTTTCAGAGTCCACACTGACCGGGAGTTCCCACTACCTCAGGTTGGGCCTGTACCTACTTACATGTCAGCCAAGTTCCTTTCAGGAATTACTCAGTGTCTCGGATTGCCCTTGTCACTTTCTGATAACTGATGATACCCACTTTACTTCAAGATCTGTGTGGGTCAATCCTGGGACTCTATAGATGGTATGGGGCATTTGGATCTTCCTATGAGCAAATGCTATTTTTCATAGTTGCTTTTAAGAGAGGGTATTTCCAGCTTCTCTATTCTGCTGTGTAATGTTTGTTAATTTTTTTATGAACTCTTTAACTTTTCCTCTTCCAATAATCTCTGGTAACCAATGGCTAGGTCTAATCTATTTTAGAGGAAAAGTTACTTACATAAACGTTTCTTGTCTATTTAGCTCCACAACTTGGGAATTAATCCAGCCAACATTGGACTCAACACATTAACAATGGAATCTGACAAATTTATATGTGTTAGAGAGAAAGTTGGAGAAAAGGCACAGGTCGTGATTATTGACATGAGCAACCCAATGGCGCCATTCAGACAGCCTATCTCTGCAGAAAGTGCCATCATGAATCCAGTCTCTAAGGTGATAGCTCTGAAAGGTAAGCCTGATAGAATTTTTTTTTCTTTTTTTTTTAAAGATTTATTTGTTTATTTATACAATCACTGGGTACAGTCAGAAGCGTGGGAGGGTGAGAGAATTCACCAGAGCCAGAGCGGGGAGCAGAGTAGGCAGAAGGACAGAAGTATACTGCTGAGGGGAGCAGCAGGAGAGGTCTGTGCGCCATGTGGGACCCTCCTCCGGTGGCCGGGGGGAGCAGCCGGGAATTGAACCAACACTGCAGAGGCTGAGGGCAGCTTCGCATCCCAGCACTCAACTGCTGCGCCACCGGGGAGGCCCAGCCTGATAGAATTTTTAAAAAGGAAGTTTACCTGTTTCCCTGCCTTATTACCATAAATAGTGGATAAGTGGCAGTAAACTCAGCAAACTCATCAATATTAAACTTAATTCCAACAGTTTAAGCAAAAGCTGCTTGTGTGCCCTGAAGGAAACTCCTGAGCACCCAAACTTTTTGCACCTTACTCATAATACCAAATACATAAGAAAGAAGATATGTCCAGACCCCATGTTACTGCAATGACCTTGTGACGGGAGCTTCACAGTGGTGCTCTAGTCATCCTAGAGTATAAACCAGACACATAGCTGTTGCTTCCTTGAGCTTAGGGGATTTGGGTGCTTGAAACCATCTAGTTATCTTGAGACTATAGACCTTTCATATTGTCATATTTTGGGAAATGAAAGGATTATGTTAACATAATTTTATTTGAAATGCATTATCACTTATAAAGTAAGTAAACACTGGTTCTGAACCTAAAATTTGTGAAAACCAAATGTTATTTTTGAGTGGGCTTCTATTTTTTCCACAAAAATGTAGTCTGCTTTGTCTTCATTAGGCAGATGGATACCTAGATATTAAGACCTTTCTATTTAAACAAATTGCTGGATATTTTTAATTCAAAATGACCTTTATGTCAACTCTTTTTTTCTTTGCTATATTCTCAAAGTATTTTTTAAGCATGTATTGTAAGCAGTGTAAACTATTTTAATTTAGCTTATTTTTAATGATGTTTGCTGAAGTAACATTGACTTAGAACACTGTATTTTTTGTAAAAATTTATTTATTTTTATACAAGAACCAGGGTATGGGCCAGAGATGCAGGGGGTGAGAGGATCCACCAGAGACAGAGTGGGGAACAGAACAGGCAGGCTGATGAAATACACTGCTGAGGGGGGCAGCAGCCGAGACAGGAGATGTCTGCTGTGGCATGTGGGTAGCTCCCTGGCCGGAGGCTGTGGATCGCTTCACAGTACTGTGCTTAACCCTTGGGTGACAAGGAAGACCTTGTTGCAGTTGTTCTTAGTGACCTTATCTAGCATTTGTTTGCCATTTGGTATTCTCAATGTGTCTCAGAAATGAACTGCATTTTAGAGTTCTTGTTTCTCCTTAATAGCGGGTTGGATGGAGGGGAGGGAAATGGGATTGGGGAAAAGGGTAGATATTGTGTACTGTAGCATGCAGATATTGTTAATTCCTTTCAACCAAAGACCACTAGGAACACACCTGAAGTTGAACAGTGAAAGAGCAGTATAGTCAGGCTGTGAGTGCTAGGCTAGTTTCCCAATGGACAGGGCTGTCCTTTTTCTTTCTTTCTTAATATTCATATAAATTACTTCAGCTCTAATACTGAGTGCTGTTTAATTTTGTATATGAAGGTGAGAGGCATTGGAACAAAGTGCTATAATTTTAAGGCTTTATCCTATTTTTACTGCAATCTGCTTATAAGGTTAATCTTGAATCCATATAGTGCAAATGGTGAGCAAATGGAGGATATACAGTATGTTTTAAAGAACCTAGACCAAAATGAATGAAACTTTCTTTTAAAACAACCAAAAATCATTTTGTACAGAGGTTGAGTTACAAAGAAAATGAATTATATTTTTATTGTTTCGTACCCCTTAGCTGGCTGTGCCTTAGGTGCCCTGAAAGCCTGAAAGTGACCTCAAGGAGCTTAGTCTTGGTTCTCACAGGTCCTCATTTTGGCTAGTGAAGTCTTGTAATTGGAAAGGGGCTCTTCATGAGATGACCTCTTGAAAAGGGGTTTAACTTTGTAGTCTCTTCTCATTTGTGACTTCAGGAGACATGAGGTAATCCGACCATAGTTTCATCGGTTCCTTTGAAGAAACCTGCAACAGATATGCTCACACTAGTCTCTCTCTAAACCGTCTCAGCTGATGAATCTGTGGTGAATGTTTTAAAACTAGAGGTGCACTTTTGCTCCTCACCAAAAAGAGCATGAAGTGGGAGTAGAATTCATCATCTGTTATTCATCAAATTAGTATTTGTCTTTCTCTTTCTGACTTATTTCACTTTGTATTACCTTTGGAGTACCATCTGTTTTGTTGCAAATGGCAAAAGTTCATATTTTTAGAGATTCCATATGATCCAGCAATTCCACTCCTAGGTATTTACCCAAATGACACAGAAACATTAATTCCAAAGGGCACCTGCACCACTATGTATATAGCAGCACTATTTACAATAGCTAAACTTTGGAAACAACCCAAATGCCCAAAAATAGATGAGTGGACCAAGAAGATGTGGTCCATATACACAATGGAATTTGTAGCAACATGGATGGCGCTGGAAGGTATCATGCTCAGCGAAATAAGCCAGAAAGAAAAAGAAAAATACCGGATGGTCTCACTCATAGCAGGAATCTAGGAAACCTAAATAAGGGACCAGGAAAAAGAATAACTATAATAAAGAAAAAATCAAAATCAACAAGCAACTATAAACCAGAGACACACTATGGGGGGTGGGGAGTGGGGCGAGGAGAGATTGGGATCAGAATAAGTGGGGTGCAATTATATAGGGATATATAATAACCAAGATGAAAATGCATACATTGTGCAATAATGAAAAATGATGTAAGAAATATATAAAATAAAAAAACTTCATCTTTTGTTTTAATATCTGAGTAGCATTCCATTGTGTATATACACCACAGTTTTTTTTTTTTTTTTTTAAAAACTTTTCATACTTTTTTTTTTTTAAATATTTATTTATTTATTTATACAAGCACTGGTACAGTCAGAAGCGCAGGAGGGTGAGAGAATTCACCAGAGCCAGAGCGGGGAGCAGAGCAGGCAGAAGGACCGAAGTACACTGCTGAGGGGAGCAGCGGGCCGCAGGAGAGGTCTGCGCGCCATGTGGGACCCTCCTCCGGTGGCCGGGGAGCAGCCAGGGATTGAACCGGCACCGCAGAGGCTGAGGGCAGCCTTGCAACCCAGCGCTCAACCGCTGCGCCACCGGGGAGGCCCTACACCACAGTTTTTTAATCCACTCCTCTCTATTGGGCACTTAGACTTTTTCCATAGCTTGGCTATTGTAAATAGGGCTGCAAAGTATTCATATATATGTCCCTTCAAATTAGTGTTTTTGCATTCTTTGGGTAGATGCCTAGGAGTGGAATCACATGGTAGGTCTATTTTTAATATTTTGAGAAACCTACAAATGGTTTTCCATAAGAGCTGCACTAGTCTACGTTCCCACCAACAGTGTCAGAGGGTTTCTTTTTCTCCATATCCTCAGTAACACTTGTTGTATCTGGTCTTTTTTTATGTAGGCCATTCTCATAGGTGTGAGCTGGTATTTCATTGTGGTTTTGTTTTGCATTTCCCTGATAATGAGTGGTGATGAGCATTTTTTCATGTACCTCTTGGCCATTGTAGGTTTTCTTTGGAGAAGTGTCTATTTAGCTCTTCTGCATATTTTTTGATTTCTTTATTAACGTTTTCTTTTTGTTGAGTTGCACAAATATTTTCTCCCTTTAGGTGGGTGTCTTTTTGTTTTACTGATAGTGTGTTTTTCTGTGCAGAAGCTTTTTAGTTTGATGTAATCCCATTTGTTTATGTATTTGCTTTTGCTTATCTATTAGAGATAAAACCTTAAGACATCTCTGACTCCAATGCCATGGAGTGTTTTGCCTATGTAATCTTTAACATATTTTATAGTTTTGGCTTTTATTTTCATGTCTTTAGTCCATTTTGCATTAATTTTTGTGTAAGGTGTGAGATGGTGATCTAGTGTCATTCTTTTGCATGTGGCTACCCAGTTTTCCCAACACCAGGAAGATGACTGTATGACTTTTCCCACTGCAAAACCCAGTCCCTGGCTGCCTGGGGATTCTTCATTGAACTGTCAAACAGGCTATGCACTCACAGTGAATTATATACTCTCCTTCCTAGGCTGGCATCCTGGGGAGAGCCTGGGAGACTTTTGAGGGAAGGGCTAATATCCCTCCTGGTGAACTGGCAGCACTCCTGACTTATTGTTAGTTAATCTTTCCCTCTCTTTCAGTGATTCCTGACTCTCCGCCTTGCTAAGACACTGCTCCTTACTTTCCTAATTCTGTTCTTGATGTGGCTGCTCCCTCCAGATGCTTATCTTTGATATTCCAGAGGGAAGCAATGACTCAAGGATTCTGTATGTCCAGCATCTTTCCCAAATGCTCCCTTTATTTTGAAAGGTTGATTGAGTTAGGCCAATCCAGATCCAGCCTGGCAGTTAGCTTGTTGTAGGGAGGGAGGAGACAGGTAGAGAGATGATAACCTCTTGTGGTGGCACACTCCACTTTTATTTCAAATCTGACCTGAGGTTGATTCCCAGAGTTGGTCTTTTTTTTTTTTTTTTTGGCTTTTCTTTTTGTGATGCTAAATATTTTGTACCTTATATAAACAAGATATTTTTAATAATTTGAGGACAACTTGACAACTTTTCAAGCTAAAGGAAATTTCCTATGTGATCTCATGCTTTTTGAAACTGAAATATATCCCTAATCTGTAGTTGAACCTTTAGTCTTTCCCCTTCCTTTAATCACTTTTTTTAAGTGTAATTCACTTGCCATAAAATCCACCCATTTTAATTGTATATATATTCAACATATAACAAGAGAGACTCAGTGGTTCCTCCTCTTGAGTTTTCAGAAAGGGTTTATGAAAGACTTGTTATTTCTATCTTCTGAGTATTTGATAGATTTT